CACGAGTTCGGGTTCAGTGAGGGGTCAGACACTCCATGTCTTGAATCGCAAAATACATCAATTCTTGAATATACCCTACGCTGAGCCCCCTTTAGGCCCACTCAGGTTCGCCCCTCCCTTACCACTCAAAACACCCAAACAGGTATGTATTAATCATATTTAATTGATTAAGCTAAAAATAATTATATTGCAATTAAGGGTATACTTGATGGAACAAAAATTGGCAATTTTTGCATTCAACATGATCTATTTTATAAATTATCATCTGAAAAGTTTATGAGTGAAGACTGTCTGGTATTGAATATATGGACACCAGATGTGGACAATAGTAATGATAATCACCAGAAAGTGGGTCTCAAACCAGTCATGTATTGGATATATGGCGGAGCACTGAGTTTGGGATCAATATTTCAAGATGTAAATAATATGAGTGTTTTGGCCGCCAATGATGTGGTTGTGGTTGCGGTTAACTATAGGGTCGGGCCGTTGGGGTTCCTCTACGGCGGAGATCAGACAGCGCCCGGAAATGCGGGCTATTATGATATGGTGTTAGGACTAAAATGGGTATTTATATAAAATTATTATGCATAAAGTTACTTTACATTACTATACATTAAAATATATTTAAAAATTTTTAGTTAATTTTATTAAAATTTGTCGATTAATTAAAGGTTAGAGAGAATATACATAACTTTGATGGCGATAAAAGTAGGGTAACCATCTTCGGTCCCAGTTCCGGGAGTATAGCGGTGTCGGCACTCATACTCTCCCCATTATCTAAAGGTCTGTTTAAGAGGGCTATTATGCAGAGCGGGTCCGTTATGTATAACAGAGATCGTCCGGCGCTCAGCGCTGTTGAAGCGCTTCAAAAAGCTAAACAATTAGCTAAACGATTAAATTGCGATAAATATGATGATAAATGGTTGCAATGTTTGCGTGAAATTAAAAATCCAAAACTATTTATTGAGTTCCCTATTAATGGCAATATAGCAATTGTCACACACCCCGTGTTTGGTACAGAATTATTACCTGTATTACCTAAAAAAGCTTTTGAAACAGGACTGTATAACAATGGTGAATTATTTTTAACTATTCAGTAACATAATTTATAATGGTAATATTATAATTTTCTATTTGTTTTGTATTCTAGACATTGAATTAATGGCTGGAGTGACCAAAGACGAGGGCACATCAATTTCAATGGCATTTATGCCAGAAATGAGGTGCGAACTCACGGAACGGCTATTCCGGAAAGCTGTCAACGATTTGAGCAATGAATACCATAACATAGATGTGGACAAAGCGTGCGATCATTATCTCAATGGTGTCCACAAAACCAATTCATCGCAACTAAAATCAGCGTTTATTGCATTATATGGCGATTTTACCATCACTTGTCCCACATATCTATTTGCCATTAATTATGCCAAAAGGGGTCCAAAACGAGTGCACTTTTATCGTTTCAGTTACCATGCTAAATTATTCAATTTTATAAGTAGGTCCGGCACCAGCGCCAGTCACGCCACAGATGTATTTTTTGTTTCAGGATATTTAGTCCGATTTAAAAATTTTGCCACAAATACTGAATACGATTGGAGTTTAGAAATGATTAAAATTTGGACAAACTTCGCAAAGACTGGGTATATATTAGATATTTAAATTAAATCAATTAAATTGACTATGATTATTTTAATATAATTGATTGTCGGACTAAAATCTATTTTTACATTATAATTGTTTTGTCAATTTTTAAATAGATTTTGTTTAGGGCATTCGTATATATTTGTTCAGTTTACCACAGATTAATTTTATTATTTATATGATTTATAGCAAACCACATGACGTTTGGCCACAACTTTGGGACAAATCTGTGATTCGAGTGAAAGACTTGAATCCCAACGATATGTCACTTATTCTCGACAATCCATACGAGAGTACATGCAATGACTTTTGGGGCGATTATTACTGATAAATAAATTTTACAATGTGTAATTATAAAATATTTAAAAACCTATTTTAAAAATCAGATAGATAAATATTTAAAAAAAGTTTATTATAATCATAAACATAATGTCAAATAATTGTATTTAATTTTATTAATTATTTCATAATAATTAAAGTTATCAACAAATAAACTGTATTATGTAAACTTTACAATATATCAATTATCACAAATCTATTAATTCAACAATAATTCACTTCTAGCTTATTTTAAATATATTTATTATTTATAGAAAATGAAATGTAAGTGTTTGAAATACTACAAAACAAATATAAGTTATTATTATTTTCATACATAATTAATCAATAAAACTTTTAAATGTACAATATAATTCTTCAGCGTACTCAAAAAATGTTGCCGTTTTGATTGATAAAAACATCAACTTTTTGTACTAAATTTTAGCAAAAATGATTATAAACTATATTTGCTATACAAAAACTTAAACTAATATCTTTAATATAATCTATAAAATACCACAAGGTTTAATTAATAAATTTAATCTCGGTTACAAAAAGAATCTATATCCTCTTTTGTTATTACAGCAAATGTATAAGAGCTCTGAAGATAATACTTGATAATTCGCCCTAGTTAAATGACATGTAGATAAATGTAGGTATATAATGCTGATGATTAAAATAAAAGTCTATTATTTATAAATATAGTTTGAAAATTTTATTAAGGAAAATGATGTATTTTTATAACATTGTTACAATATTTATTTTATATTTCACATTAAATACTGTGAATAGTATTGATGTTCAGACGAGTATAGGAGTAGTGAGGGGTCGGACACATGTACACAACCTGTGTTTACACCTAGTCAAACACCCGTAAGGTATGCGGCTTGGCCCGGTCGGCAAACATAGGTTCGCAAAACCCGAACCCATTTCTAAACCATTTCCCGTAAGTATAAAACTAATTATTTAAAACAATTTAAGCTTAAATTATTACATTTGAAGCATTTAAATGATAAGTTTTTCAATGAATAAAACAAATTAATTTATATAGCATATAAATAATTTCTTTATAACAATTACAATTAGATATTGTATTACTAAAATTTAACAAACTTTTATAAATGAAAAATAATAAATGTTTTTAGATATGTAATGTAATATTATTGCCATTAGAGTATAATCGATGCAACAAAAGTTAAAAACTCATGTATGCAAAATCCGAGTCAGTTTCCAATCAGTCCGGACTCACCCCTCAGTGAGGACTGTCTGGTGCTTAACATATGGACAGCAAATACCACAGCATTAAAGCCAGTGATGTTTTGGATATATGGAGGGGGACTTATTATGGGTTCAATATTTCAAGAAATATACAATGGAAGTGCTTTGGCTACCAATGATGTAGTGGTTGTGTCCGTCAACTATAGGTTAGGACCGTTTGGTTTCCTATACGGGGATTCGGAGGACGCGCCCGGAAATGTCGGCTTTTATGACCAGTTGTTAGGCTTGAAATGGGTATCAATTTCTTGTTTTTTAATCTAATTTCTAGTCAATTAATAAAATATTATAAAAATTATTACATAATAATAGGTCAGAGAAAACATCCACTCATTTGGCGGAGATAGGGATCAGATCACCATTTTTGGTGAGAGCGCCGGGAGTTGGTCGGTTTAAAAACTAACATTAAATTTAAATATCAAATTTCTAATTATTAATCATAAGTAAAATTCTTATATAATGAATAAATTGGATAAAATATTTTATCTCAATATATTTAACAATAAGGTTGATGCATAAGTTTTAGCATTAGAGTCTACGATTAAGCCTGAAATCAAAGCCGTTCATTCATATGAGAAAATAGCATATTTTTAAATAAAGTCTGTTCTGGATATAATATACACTCAATAGTATCCACAATTCATTACAATCCCCATGTTTTAAAACCAAAAGTCAATTGCCATTCATATAATGTTAAAATAGTATCGTTATAATCAACATTTTTGTTTTTATTATAATCCCCACTTCATTATAATCCCTCAATATATCAAACACTCACATTGAAAGTCATACAAAATATACTTCAATAGTGTCCCCACTTTTAATTAACTATAAGAATTGGTGAAAAATATTAAAAATTAGTTAAAAATATTAAAAATTAGTTAAAAATCTTTACTAATTTGACAAATCAAACAAAATGTTGAATAAAACTTAAAATAAACTGTTTTTAAGATATAATTAGAATGTTATAACCAGAGTCAACAATAGCTTATACATGGAGTGAATACAAGTTCATTATAATCAACATTTCATTATAATCCCCACTTTTTGAAAATTTCATGTGTATATTATAACCAATATGGATTGTATATCAAAAGTACCAATTGTAGTACATTTGTATTCATAAAAAATTTTCCTTGATGTTACAAATAACCTTGTTGATTTTTATAAAGATAATTGGGGTTTATTAAAATAAGATTTTGTGAAAATAAAAGATGTTTAAACAATTAAAAGATAACCGATTGTATATAAACTATAAATAATAATTGAAATTTAATAGTTTGTTAATTGTTTTTAATTTATATTTTTATTATTATTCTGAACTATAGCTAAATATGTATGATTTATACAACATTGCAACAATAATTGTTTTATATTTGACATTAAATGTTGTGAACTGTATTGATGTGAACACCACTATAGGAGTAGTGAGGGGTCGGACACTACATGTGTTGGACACAAATGTGGACCAATTTCTGGGCATTCCTTACGCCGAACCCCCGGTCGGCAAATATAGGTTCGCAAAACCCGAACCCATTTCTAAACCATTTCTCGTAAGTATTTTATTTTATTTAAATGTACATCTAAATTCTGAAATTTGTGTTTATTAACATAAATGCTATATATATTTTCAATCTAAATAACTTATATAGTTTACTAAAACTAATTTTCTATTATTATTATAGACACTAAAGCAGTGCAAAAACGGTGCATTGATCACAGAAAAAATATAAATCTAATTATTAGAAATATTAAAATTGTGTTGAAAGTAATGAATCAAACATTACTTTTATATAAAGTTAAGTTTTTTTTCTGTGACTAATGCACCGTTTTTGCACTGCTTTCGTGTCTATAATTATTATACCATTTATTATAAAATTTGTATAATATATGAAATAAAATTATTGTATTATAATAATTGACACAGAAATATTATATTGAGTTATAAAATAATTATATATATTAAAAAGCATTACCAAGTTAATTATACATTTAATGATTTTATTTTAAGAATATAATTGATGCGACAAAAGCTAAAAACTCATGTATGCAAGCGATCAGTATTATGCCTATACCGGACTCAACCCTCAGTGAGAACTGTCTGGTGCTTAACATATGGACAACAAATACCACAGCATTAAAGCCAGTGATGTTTTGGATACACGGAGGGGGACTTATTACGGGTTCAATTTTTCAAGAGTGGTATAACGGGAGCGCTTTGGCCACACATGATGTGGTGGTTGTGTCCGTCAACTATAGGTTAGGACCGTTTGGTTTCCTATACGGGGATCGGGAGGACGCGCCCGGAAATGTCGGCTTTTGTGACCAGTTATTGTCTCTTAAATGGGTATCAATTGATCATATATTTCAATTATAAATCCTATTTATTGATGACATAATATATAAATTATTGGCAAAATAATAGGTTAGGGAAAACATCCACTCATTTGGCGGAGATAGGGATCAGATCACCATTTTTGGTGAGAGCGCCGGGAGTTGGTCGGTGTCCGCACACATACTCTCCCCGCTATCCAAAGGCCTATTCAAGAGGGCTATTATGGAGAGCGGAGCCAATATGTACAATAAGGACAGAGATGTGGTCAATAAAACTGAGGCCTTATCTCAGGCCAAAGCAATGGCTAAAGGATTGAAATGCAATGAAACCGAGGATTGGATACAATGTCTGCGAAGAGCGGACGCCAAAGATATACTCAAATATGGGTCGACTTTTGCCACATTCCCGGTGTTTGAAACAGAGTTTTTGCCAATTCGTACGCAACAAGCTTTTAATGAGAAAAAGTTTAACACGGGTACTTTAATTAATTAGATTAAATTACACTAATAGTAATTGGATTTTTAATATTTATAATAAAATGTTTTACATAAATAGATGTTGACCTAATCGCTGGTATTACACGCAACGAGGGCTCAATGTTTATTTATTTAGTTATAAAGGACCCTGTTCATATGACACTTACTGACTTTTACAACGGGTTAAAAGCATTAGACGAAAACATCGGCTTTCACAACATAGATGTGCCAAAAGTAACGGCACATTACCTGAAAGGTGTCAACACTAGCGATAGTCAGGCACTTCGTAAAGCTTTAAGTGCACTAATGGGTGACCTAATACTCGGGTGTCCGACATATCTGTTCGCCAAACGGTTCGCACAAACTGTCAAAGAGTCGCAAAGGGTTTACTTTTACGAGTTGTTGTACGCGAGCGAGTTTTACTCCAAATTAGGTGGGTGTGATATAAAGACCATGGGCATTTGTCACGGCATGGATATACCCTTTGTGTTTGGTCTACCACTTCTCGATCCCAAACATCCCCCTCCAGAAGATATATTTTATGCCAATTATATAATGAAAGTGTGGACAAAGTTTGCCACCGATGGGTAAATATAATTGTTATAAGTTAACCAAACATTTATTCTACTTTATACATTTATTGTATATATCTTAAACATGTTCACATTTTTAAAAATCATATTTTAATGTCTGTAATTAATGTAATAAAATACATAAACCTATGATTGTTTTAGACATTTGGACACTGATTGGCCGCAACTGTTAACCGATGACCCGAGCGGTGCGCCCAAAGTCCACGGTTTGGATCCAACAAATCTAAGTTTAGTACTGAAAGACCCGTTTCATAAAACTTGTGATGGCGTGTGGGCCGACTATTTCCTATAAATAAATGTACATAAGGCATAATGGCATAGTATTAATGAAATAATAGTACAAAATTCTCTTAATAATTATATTGATAATTTAGTATAATTAATAATATTATTATTTGTTGTTATAATCATTGTGTATTATTTTGCAATCTGTCATTCAACCTTGTTAATCATGTTATCAGATAATATTATATTACATATAAAGTTAATTACAAATAAAGGCAATTTTTATTGCTAATTTTTAAAATATTTTGTGTGCTTATTAAATAAACCGAATATTCTATAAAACCCAAGTCAACACATTATTGTTTGAGTGTTATGTGTTTATTTAATTCAGTTGGACGTGTATCTTAGGTTACATGGTAAAATTAAATGTAAATATCTCGAGCTGATAAAGAGAAACAACCGAGATGTGGCCAATTTAGTAATACCGCGTATACGGCTATTAGCATTGAAATATGGGGTTTCACACAGTGCTTGGGTTAATCACCAGTATTGCATACTATACGCTTTAGAGATGGCAAATATAATTTTTGTTATTTTACTTACGAGTTAGCATAAAGAATAGCACAAATAAATTATATAAATGTTAAACTAATTTAATAATTATTTTTATGTAACTTACGATAATTACATTATTTATTAATAAGTTATTTAAAATTATTAATAAATTAATTATCAACATTATTCTTGTTATCTTAAAGCCTAATATATAGAGTATAATTTACAAGCAGTATATACACTGTACAGTATACAGTATATACAGATAATGTGCACTCACAAGCCAATTTAAAGATTTCACCATCAATTGTAAATGTGCTCATTGTACTACATGTTACATACTGTTTATAATTTTAATGTATTAAATGGATTCATCCACTTATGGTATTTCAGCAAATGTATAAGAGCTTTGTAGATAATACTTGATAATTCACCCTAGTTAAATAAGGTATATAATGCTGATGATCGCAATGAAAGTTTATTATTTAGTAAAATAGTTTAAAAATCTAATTAAGCAAAATGATGTATTTTTATAACATTGTTACAATAACTATTTTATATTTGACATTAAATGTTGTGAATAGTATTGATGTTCCGACGAGTATAGGAGTAGTGAGGGGTCGGACACTACATGTGTTGGACACAAATGTGGATCAGTTTGTGGGCATTCCATACGCCGAACCCCCGGTCGGCAAACATAGGTTCGCAAAACCCGAACCCATTTCCAAACCATTCACCGTAAGTATAAAAATAATTATTTAAAACAATTTATGCTTAAATTAGTTATATTACAGAAACATTCAGATTATAAGAATTTTAATAAATAAAAGAAATTAATTTATAAAGTAGACCGTAGACATTTAGACATCTTTTTATATACAGTAGACATACATTATATTATTAAATATAAACAACAAGATCCTTTAAATGCAATATAATAAATTTTGCTAGTTATATCAATATTGTAAATTTATAACATAATACTATTGTTTTTAGCATATAATCGATGCGACAAAAGTTAAAAACTCGTGTATACAACCAAACGGTCCGTTTCCTATCAGTCCGGACTCACCCTTCAGTGAGGACTGTCTGGTGCTTAACATATGGACAACAAATACCACAGCATTAAAGCCAGTGATGTTTTGGATATACGGCGGGAGTCTTAATATAGGATCCATTTTTCAAGAGATATATAACGGAAGCGCTTTGGCCACCAATGATGTGGTGGTTGTGTCCGTCAACTATAGGTTAGGACCGTTTGGTTTCCTATACGGGGATCGGGAGGACGCGCCCGGAAATGTCGGCTTTTATGACCAGTTATTGGGCCTGAAATGGGTATCAATTAATTTTGTTTAATAACTTATGTTTGTTATTATTATCTTTAATAACAAATTTAATAAATTATAAACATTTAATATTATATGTATTACTCATATAATAATAGGTTAGAGAAAACATCCACTCATTTGGCGGAGATAGGGATCAGATCACCATTTTTGGTGAGAGCGCCGGCAGTTGGTCGGTGTCCGCACACATACTCTCCCCGCTATCCAAAGGCCTATTCAAGAGGGCTATTATGGAAAGTGGAGCCAATATGTTCAATAAGGACAGGGATGTGCTCAGCAAAACTGAAGCCTTATCTCAGGGCAAAGCAATGGCTAAAGGATTGAAATGCAATGAAACCGAGGATTGGATACAATGTCTGCGAAGAGCGGATCCCAAAGATATACTCAAATATGAAGCGCCTTTTGCCTCATTCCCGGTGTTTGGCACAGAGTTTCTGCCAATTCGTACGCAACAAGCTTTTAATAAGAAAAAGTTTAACACAGGTACTTTAATAAATTAATCATATGAAATTACACTTATATTAATGATATTAATACTGGATTTTTAATATTTATATTAAATCTATTTATTCAAAGATATTGATATAATCGCTGGTATTGTACGCAATGAAGGCGCAATGTTACCTAGCTTCGTAATCAAAGACCCTGCTCATATGACGCTCAATGATTTTCATAACGGGTTAAGTGCATTGGACTCGTCGATCGGATTACACAACATAAATGCACCAAAAGTAACGGCCCATTACTTGAAAGGTGTCAACGCTAGCGATTCACTGGCTCTACGAAAGGCTTTTAGCGCATTAGCGGGCGATTTAATACTCGGTTGTCCGACATATCTGTTCGCCAAACGGTTCGCACAAACTGTCAAAGAGTCGCAAAGGGTTTACTTTTACGAGTTGTTGTACGCGAGCGAGTTTTTTGCCAAATATGTTGGTTGCGATATAAAGACCATGGGCGTTTGTCACGGCATGGAAGTACCCTTTGTGTTTGGTTTACCACTTCTCGATCCCAATCATTCAACTCCAGAAGATAAATTTTATGCCAATTATATAATGAAAATGTGGACAAAGTTTGCCACCGATGGGTAAATAACATTATTATTATTAAGCCAAACATTCATTGTATATCTTATATCTTTACATGGTTAAGTTTTAGAAAATTATATTTTAGTATCTGTAATTAATGTAATGATATACAAAAAATTTCCCTATGATAATTATAGACATTTGAACCGTGATTGGCCGCAACTCTTAAACGATGATCCGAGCGGTGCGCCCAAAGTCCACGGTTTGGACCCAAAGGATTTACCCCTAGTATTAAAAGACCCGTTTCATGAAACTTGTGATGGCGTGTGGGCCGACTACTTTCTATAAATGTACATAGTGCATAATATGAATAAAATAATTATACAAAATTTTGCTATTAATTATTTAGTTAATCATTATGTATTATTTTGCAATCTGTCATTCCCTCGTTGTTTATGTTAATATTATATTTATGTATATTTATAAATATTACATGTAATTTCAAATAAAAAAAATTTTTATTGCCAAATTATTTATATTTTATGTGTTTGTATAATTAATTTAACAGAATATTCTTTAAAATGTGTAAACACAAGTTAAAACATGATGGTTTCAAAATTATTTATATAACTAATCTAAACATAATTCATTTTGAAATATTTTTATTTTCTTTCTAATTACACCAAACCTTAATAAATTATACATAAAAATAAAAACTCAGATAGATAAATATTTTTAAAAATGTTTATTATAATCATAAACATGATGTCAAATAATTGTATTAAATTTCATTATAATTATAGTTATTAACAAATATATTGTATGCTGTGTACATCAATTATCCCCAATCAATTAATTTAATAATAATAAAATACTCTTGGTTAAATATAATTATGTTTATTTTAAATAGAAAATGAAATGCAAATATTGAAATACGATAAAAATATAAATTTAATTTGCATGATATTTTAAATCAAATAAAATTCAATGCACTAACCGTAATAAAAATAAAACATAAATATTAGATTATTATTATTTTCTTACCTAATCAAGAAATAAAATAAATTTTAACTGTACAAAATGATTCATTAAGGTACTCAAAAAAATGTTGCCGTTTTGACTGATAAAGACATTAACTTGTTGTACTAAATTTTAGTAAAAATGATTACAAATTATATTTGTTATAAAAAAGTTACACTAATTTTGTTAATAAAATCTAGAAAATACCATAAGTTTAATTAATTAATTTAATCTATGTTACAAAAGGTATGTTACAAATCGTCTATTTCATTAGTTCATTATAGATTATACAGTAAATCTGTTTTAATAAATTTATCTATATACACTTATGATACACTGTTGTTATTTCAACAAATGTATAAGAGCTTTGTAGATAATATTTGATAATTCATTCTAGTTAAATAAGGTATATAATGCTTATGATTGAAATAAAAATCTATTATTTTTAAATACAGTTATAAAATCTAATTAAGCAAAATAATGTATTTATATAACGTTGTTACAATTGTTTATTATATATTTCACTTTAAATACTGTAAACTGTATTAATGTGAACACCAATAGGAGTAGTGAGGGGTCGGACACTACATGTGTTGGACACAAATGTGGATCAGTTTGTGGGCATTCCTTACGCCGAACCCCCGGTCGGCAAACTTAGGTTCGCTAAACCCGTTTTCCATAATAGCCCTCTGAAACATACCTTTTGATAGCGGGGAGAGTATGTGTGCGGACACCGACCAACTCCCGGCGCTCTCACCAAAAATGGTGATCTGATCCCTATCTCCGCCAAATGAGTGGATATTTTCTCTGACCTAATATTATGTAATAATTTTTTTAATATTTTAGTAATTGAATAGAAATTAGGTTAAAAACAAGAAATTGATACCCATTTCAAGCCTAACAACTGGTCATAAAAGCCGACATTTCCGGGCGCGTCCTCCCGATCCCCATATAGGAACCCAAACGGTCCTAACCTATAGTTGACGGACACAACCACCACATCCTTTGTGGCCAAAGCGCTCCCATTATATATTTCTTGAAATATTGAACCCATAATAAGTCCGCCGCCGTATATCCAAAACATCACTGGCTTTAATGCTGTGGTATTTGTTGTCCATATGTTAAGCACCAGACAGTCCTCACTGAGGGGTGAGTCCGGACTGATTGGAAACTGACTCGGATTTTGCATACATGAGTTTTTGACTTTTGTTGCATCGATTATACCCTAATGGCAATAATATTACATTACATATCTAAAAACATTTATTATTTTTCATTTATAAAAGTTTGTTAAATTTTAATAATACAATACCTAATTGTAATTGTTATTAAGAATTTATGTCTATTGTACATAAATTTTAAATTAATTTGTTTTATTTATTGAAATACTTATCATTTAAATGTCTGTTTAATTTAAGCTTAAATTGTTTTAAATAATTAGTTTTATACTTACGGGAAATGGTTTAGAAATGGGTTCGGGTTTTGCGAACCTATGTTTGCCGACCGGGGGTTCGGCGTATGGAATGCCCACAAACTGATCCACATTTGTGTCCAACACATGTAGTGTCCGACCCCTCACTACTCCTATACTGGTGTTCACATCAATACAGTTCACAGTATTTAATGTCAAATATAAAATAAATATTGTAACAATGTTATAAAAATACGTCATTATGCTTAATAAAATTTTCAAACTATATTTATAAATAATAGACTTTTATTTCAATCATCAGCATTATATACCTACATTCACTTACATTTATATACCTACATTTATCTACATGTTATTTAACTAGGGCGAATTATCAATTATTATCTACAGAGCTCTTGTACATTTGCTGTAATAACAAAAGAGGATATAGATACCTTTTGTAACCGAGATTAAATTTATTAATTAATCCTTGTGGTATTTTATAGATTATATTAAAGACATTAGTTTAAGTTTTTGTATAGCAAATATAGTTTATAATCATTTTTACTTAAATTTAGTACAAAAAGTTGATGTTTTTATCAATCAAAGCAGCAACATTTTTTAAGTACGCTGATGAATTATATTGTACATTTAAAAGTTATATTGATTAATTATGTATGAAAATAATAATAACTTAAATTTTTTTTTGTAGTATTTTAAACACTTACATTTCATTTTATATAAATAACAAATATATTTAAAATAAGCCAGAAGTATTTTATTATTGTTGAATTAATAGATTTGTGATAATTGATATATTGTACAGAATATTTATTTGTTGATAACTTTAATTATTATGAAATAATTAATGAAATTAAATACAATTATTTGACATTATGTTTATGATTATAGTAAACTTTTTAAAAATATTTATCTATATGATATTTTTAATTTAGTTTTGAAATATTTTGTAATTTAACATTGTAAAATTTATTTATTAGTAATAATCGCCCCAAAAGTCATTACATGTACTCTCGTATGGATTGTCGAGAATAAGTGACATATCGTTGGGATTCAAGTCTTTCACTCGAATCACAGATTTGTCCCAAAGTTGTGGCCAAACGTCATGTGGTTTGCTATAAATCATATAAATAATAAAATTACTCCGTGTTGAACTGAACAAATATCTATGAATGACCTGGACAAAATCAATTTAAAACTTAATAAATTTACAATTTAAAACAGATTTTAACCCGATAAACAACATTACATTAAAATAATTATAGTCAATTTAATTTAATGTAAACATTTAATAAATACCCAGTTTTTGCGAAGTTTGTCCACATTTTAATCATTTTTAAACTCCAATCGTATTCAGTATTTGTGGCAAAATTTTTAAATCGGACTAAATATCCTGAAATAAACATTACATCTGTGGCGTGACCGGCACTGGTGCCGGACCTAGTTATAAAATTGAATAATTTAGCATGGTAACTAAAACGATAAAAATGCACTCGTTTTGGACCCCTTTTGGCATAATTTATGGCAAACAGATATGTGGGACAAGTGATGGTAAAATCGCCATATAATGCATTAAACGCTGCCTTCAGTTGCGTTGAATTGGTTTTGTGGACACCATTGAGATAATGATCGCACACTTTGTCCACATCTATGTTATGGTATTCATCGCTCAAATCGTTGACAGCTTTCCGGAATAGTCGTTCCGTGGGTTCGTTCCTCATTTCTGGCATAAATGTCGGTGCAATTGATATGCCCTCGTCTTTGGTCACTCCAGCCATTAATTCAATGTCTATTATATAATATAATAGAAAACAAAACAATTAGAAAATTATACCATTATAAATTATGTTACTGAATAGTTTAAATTAATTCACCATTGTTATATAATCCTGTTTCAAAAGCTTTTTTAGGTAATATAGGTAATAATTCTGTACCAAACACGGGGTGTGTGACAATCGCTAAGTTGCCATTAATGGGTAACTCAATAAACAGTTTTGCATTTTTTATCTCTCGCAAACATTGCAACCATTTATTATCATATTTATCGCAATTTAATCGTTTGGCTAATTGTTTAGCTTTTTGAAGGGCTTCAATAGCGCTGAGCGCCGGACGATCTTTGTTATACATAACGGACCCGCTCTGCATAATAGCCCTCTTAAACAGACCCTTAGATACCGGAGAGAGTATTAGTGCCGACACCGCTATACTTCCGGAACTGGGACCGAATATGGTTATCCTACTTTTATCGCCACCAAAGTTATGTATATTTTCTTTAACCTATCATTTAATCGACAAATGTTAATAAAATTAATTAAAAATTTTTAAATATATTTTAATGTATAATTATATTTTATATAATACCCATTTTAGTCCTAACACCATATCATAATAGCCCGCATTTCCGGGCGCTGTCTGATCTCCGCCGTAGAGGAACCCCAACGGCCCGACCCTATAGTTAACCGCAACCACAACCACATCATTGGCGGCCAAAATACTCATATTATTTACGTCTTGAAATATTGATCCCAAACTCAGTGCTCCGCCATATATCCAAAACATGACTGGTTTGAGACCCACTTTCTGTTGATTATCATTATTATTGTTCACATTTGGTGTCCATATATTCAATACCAGACAGTCTTCACTCATAAATTTTTCAGATGACAATTTATAAAATAGATCATGTTGAATGCAAAAGTTACCAATGTTTGTCCCATCAAGTATACCCTTAATTGCAATATACTTTTTTAGCATAATGAATTAAATATTATTAATACATACCTGTTTGGGTGCTTTGAGGGGTAGGGGAGGGGCGAACCTGAGTGGGCCTAAAGGGGGCTCAGCGTAGGGTATATTCAAGAATTGATGTATTTTGCGATTCAAGACATGGAGTGTCTGACCCCTCACTGAACCCGAACTCGTGTTCA